GAGCCGGAATCGAACCCTGCACCTCTGCACTGTGATGCGGATGTGCTAACCAGTCGACCATCATGCCGCCCTGGAAAAAAATCATAGCTCATGAAATTATTTTAATTGCAGTCTATTTATGGAAGGCTTTTATTTTTCTCCATTATCAGGTACTATATGACCTTTTAACTCAACCACCCACAAGTGCTGCCTTTAGCATAATTGTCGTGGTTTGTGAAATTTGCAGTCACAGATGTTAATTGGTTCATGTAGTGCATATCTCTGAGATTGTTTTGTTGCCATAAAGTCTTTGTGTTCTAGATGTATTTTTGTGTATCTCGTGTGTGTGTGTGTGTGTGTGTGTGTGTGTGTGTGTGTGTGTGCTTGAGTGAATTGTTTGTTTGAACGATTAAGATGACATATGTTTCTGGTGGCATGTGATATAATCTGCTGTTAATTATTGTTAATTCCATGAGTGACTTGATGACAAGATGTAATCATTCATCCATCCATCCATTTTCTGAACCGCTTTATCCTCACAAGGGAGCATGCTAGAGACTATCCCGGCTGTCTTCGGGCAGTAGTCGGGGGACACCCTGAACCGGTTGCCAAACAATCGCTGGCCACACAGAGACAAACAACCATCCACACTCCCACTCACACCTAGGGACAATTTTGAGTGGTCAATCAGCCTGCCGTGCATGTTGTTGGAATGTGGGAGGAAACCGGACTCCCTGGAGAATACCCACGTAGGCACGGAGAGAACAGGCAAACTCCACACAGGAGGGCCAGAGCCCTGGACCTCTGTATTGTGAGGCGAACGTGCTAAGCACTGAATTAGACGTTTCCAAACTTGACAGGTACTGCAAATTTGGGGATTTTCAAACTGATTTAGCATATTTTAAAGATTAAAATGTGCAAAAATGCCTTTTCAGTGGCAGTATGCCTCACACCCCACCAAATAATTTGGTGTGGATGAAAAACAAAACAAAACAAAAAAATCCTCTCGGACCAGCCCTGGGTTGCATGCTGCTTTTCAGTTGTTCAATCACTTTATTGATCACATCACACTAGCATCTACAGAGGCTACATTTCCCCAGCCCTTACATGCATGTCTTCCATTTGATGTGACATTACGTATGCTCCTTGCTAATATCCTCTCACGATGGTACTGACTAATTGTGTGGAGCGGGAGTGGATTATAAAAGGCGTGCAACTAGATAAAATGCCATAGAAGGGGGCGTGTATTATACCATTGTGTATTACTCCCCGTGGCCATACTGTGATGTTTAGTCACAGCCCCTCTTCGTTCTGTGTATTTATTTTCACTTGCTCATTTATTGACCTTTCCGGGGACCTTCCATTTGTTTGTTTCCTTGAATTATTAGACTGCGGCGGGTGAATTAAGAAACTTGGGTGCATAACCATTTGATTTTGGTTGTCTTTTTTGACTCCCTGCCCAGCCTGGCTCCACGTTTTTCTCCACGGACTACTTGATGCTACACTTATCCTTCATGCCAGTCCATCTTCTCGCCGTGTTCTCCAACACACTAAGCCAGAGTTTCACCTTTTTGTTTGCGAGCCACTATTGTGTTCTGAGCTGGATCATCAGACTCTCTCTTTCATCAAACTGTCTTTAACCTCTGCCAACTGTCTCCCATTCGCTTTTGGATCAACTGCTGCCTTTAACTTTTTGTTATCCACAACACATACCTCAGGAAATTCATGCTATTTGAGTCTCAAAAAATGTATACATTTTGGTGTTTACTGCACAACTCCATAATGAAGTTCCTGTCATCATCCAAGACACCGTGGACATATTTAGGGACAGGCATTCCAGTATAGCCCGAAGTAAACGCAACAATCGTCATCGAAACACAAATCAGTCAGCAAACATCAAAAGCTAACAACATAGCACTAAATTGTTGCCAGCTATAGAATAAAAGTGTGTGTGTGTGTGTGTGTGTGTGTGTGTGTGGGTGTGTGTGTGTGTGTGTGGGTGCGTGCGTGCGTGCGTGCGTGCGTGCGTGCGTGCGTGCGTGCGTGAGAGAGAGAGAGAGACTGCATGTGAAGGGATTTTGACAAGAGGTAGGAAAAATGAGGGGGCAGATTAAAATGAAGCATATAACTGGATTATGTTACACCAAAATATTATTTGTGCAGGTTATTTTCTTGACAAAACCAAATAGTGAGGGTGCAGCCTATATAAGCAATTATTTTGATATTTGATAACTTGCTGAAGCCCAAACCAGCCGTCTTTGGGCAATATACACCCTGATCGGGTTGCCGGCCAATTGCAGGGGAGCTCATGCAAACTCCACACAAAAGTCCGGAGCCTGGAATTGAACCCTAAACCTACACTGTGAGGCGGATGTGCTAACCATTCGACACCGGGTAGCATATAATTCATTCATGAAAATGAATCGAATTAGAATATTTTTCGGTCCATAACATCACAACCAGAGAGCTTGTCCATAGGAAAAAAAAACTTTTTTTTTTTTTTATTGAAAAAGTTTGCATTGTGTAACAGACTGGTGGAATGTGTCATATATCCTCACTTTGATTTTTTTTTTCTTCAGATTTTAAACATGAAAACCATTTTTCACAACTTGCTCAACTCATTCTTGACAAGAAAGGAGAAAAGGGGTACAGCCACTCAGTAACCATGACAGGACAACAGAAAACCAAGGCTGAAAAAAAGAAAAAGCTATTCAAATATAATACTGTGTTACTGACAAACTGGACTGAAGAAAAAAAAAAAGGAAAAAAAAACCTAATTCAATAAATATTTATGGTACACACTTATGGCACAAATATGCAGCAGTCAGTTTGGCAAATTTTTGCTCATTTTTTTTTTTCCCAAACCAAATTACTATGGAAACAGTGCAAAAGGGAAGGGAGTGGGGAGGACACTTTCCATTGAGCGCTAGCTAAAATACATAGCAAAAAATTCAAATTTTATACAAAACCTTTTACTTTAAGAGTTTATAAAAATGTTTTCTTGTGTTCTCATCAATATTTACATAATCTATTTACCAAAAAGTAGTATGCTCTGTTTTACCGAAGTGTAATTCTTTTTTTTTCTGAACTTTTTTTTAATTTCCTAAAAAAGGTGAATAAGGCTAGTGTAACAACCCAGGATCCATATACAGTACAAACATGAATGTATTTACAGTTTGTTACCTACAGAAGAGTGGTGCAAAATTTCTGAGTCAAGTGACCGAGGGGGCTGAGCATACGAGCAAGGCATTTTACAAGAACGTGACGTGCTTTTCCTCTCCGACTTTCGAAGACTCTCACGGCCTCTCACAGCCATTCAATCACATTCCTACCAAATCCGCTCAATGTAAGGAGAGTGTTATTCAAGTGACAGCTAAGAAAAGGACGCCAGATTCAAAGAAACTAAATAAGATTGTCATATTCTGCTGCAGTTCAACAGCAACTAAAACAGCTTGTGTGTTACATGTGTCTTTTTTTTTTCATCTCTCTTAAATACCTGTTCGGATGTCATACGCTTTTAATTGTTCATTTTTACACGGCGAAAATTTTTGCACGGTGATAAAACAAAAATAGTTGGAAATAATATGAAGGGAATGAAACTAACAGCAGGTTTGTTTGACACACTTTGTTGTTGTACAGTGATGTCTTTTGGAACATCTTATCAGTGGTTAAGAACACTTCCCATAGGTGTTTTTTTTTGTTTTTGTTTTTTAAACGTATATATCAGAATCGATTAAAAAAATAAATAATTGCATATTTGCTGATTCTGTAGCCTCTTTGAGGCACAAACCTCATACTAGGCTTGGCTTTTCGGTGAAATTTTGATGCGATTAATGAGGAAGATGGCGGGGGCGCTGTACACTCAGAAAATGGATCTCATCGTCAGCTGAAGATTTGTGAAATCGGTGAAAATAGAAACTCGAGCAGTCACACGCATACACATGCAAAGACGACATGAAGGATGTGTGTGAAGGGGCACTGGGTGTTCTTGACATACAGTATATGCTACACTGAGCGAGTGACGAGAGACGCAGCTACTCTGCTCTATGAGAGCCAAGGGTCCGAATTCCCTCACCTGGCCCTGCTTCGCCTGGAGATCTCATGAAATTGCAGGACTTGAAGCATATCAATTAATAAAATATCTAGGTTGCATAATGTGCACGTATACCACAATATATTATCACCTCTTGCCATGCCAACACCTGCCTGTGCTCTGTCTATCATAAATAAAATCTCATATTTATATTTTTTTTCATTTGAGTTTTTATAAGGTATACTTCGTAAAACATCGTTTTAAAGCGGCAAGACATAGAAACGATGATGGGGTGGAAAAAAAGAGCGGCAATGGATGAGTGTGTCCCTGCTTTAAAAAAATGTGAGCACTGGCCATACTTCTTTGGGCTCAAGATGCCCTTGTCCTCAGATGTTTAGGGTAAACGTTACAGTACCAAGGGCTGTTCCACGCAGCTATGCTAACCTCTGTTGTATCTTGACTACTCTTCACTGATGTAAAAAAAATACGACACTAAGGCAAATTGGATTTCTTATTGCCCTAAACAATTTCCCGTTTAAAGCTCAGGTTGCGGGGAGCTGAGGTGAAGTCGTTACTAATCACAAATGCCAGGATACAGCTTCTCTCCAATCTCCTCTGGTCATGATCTATCTCTGGACTGCTATGAAGAGTGCAGGTACCAAAACAGGGTTAAAAGTGCTGCTCTTTATTTCGAATGCCCTCCACGCTTCGGGCATGTCTTTTGAACTGACCTGTCACACAACCGTCCTCATTCCCATCCATCTTGAACACACTTGCTACTTTACTTGTGTTTGAATGTTACATACAAAATGATGTATGTGTGGATGATGAATTAAACCCCGATGTGCACACAGCTACACAAGGATCTGAAAGCCACACGTGATCAATTCCAACGTATTTTGACACAGGATACATACTGGATACAACCTTCAAGTAACAAGAAAGGTAGGACGACAGATGGAATGAGGATTAAAAAAAGAACAACAATAACAACAACAACAAAAAACTGTTGGTATTGACGCATGTGCGTAGTAGTGGGTGGGTGGGTGTATGTGTGGCTGGCAGAGTGCTTGGGCGGTATCTGCGAGTCAGTCAAGAAAGTCCCAGAGAGCATGGGTGCAAAAATCTATCCCCCTTTTCCTTGTTCGCCTGGGGAATCCAAATAGTCAAAGAGAGGGCAGTCACTTTATCAGTTCATGGTCAGCCTACATCCCCTCCATTACCTTTCCTCCGGCCTCAAATCTTTGCCGATTCCCAGCTCATTTCATATTTTTCCAAACGGCAATCACTATGATGAGGTCAAGGGACAAGGAATTTTTCACTTCCGTATAGCCGTTCGCCCTTACCATCACAGCAAAAGAAAAATAACACTTGCGATCTCTCGAACCTTTCCGACCTCACATATCAAGCTCCCAAACATGCGAGCCACTTGTGCACAAACCAGAAAAGGGAAAAAAAAGAGTGGGCAAAGATATTCTAAGTTCTTCCTCCTCTTCCCCAAAGTCAAAGAGAGTAGCAGCAGCAGCAGCAATTTCTCAGGCCTCTGCCAATCGCAGTCAAACTCGCTGTGAACATACCAGAGGAAGTAGGTATAATCTAACGTCGACAACGAAAATACTACCGACAAAGTATCAGAGGAGAGGACTTGGCAGAATGAGAGAAAAAGGGTCAGGGAGTTTGTTTGCAGGCATGGAGGCTGTGCTCGCTGAAACCATGAACCTGCCACTCTCTACCCTGGGAGCGATCCAGTATGTCTCATGTTTTGAAACGTTCTCCTTCAGACTTTGTAATAGATGTTGGCAGGGCTCTGCGGTGGCATCTCTTGGACGATGTAGACCGGGTGGCCGTAATCGCCACTGACTTTTTCGTAGTGGGGGCAAAAGACGCTGTCAGCAGTCCTGAGCGGGATGATGATGTCGCTGGGCTCCGAGCCATTATTGTTTCCGCCACTGCCGCTTCGCTTCGGCGTGGCCAGAGTGCTCAGAGACAACGTGGCCGCATGCTGTGGCGAGTGCTTGCGGTGACGCCGCCGGTACTTGAGCAGCAGCAGCACCAGCATGATTATGATGATGATAAAGATGACGCTGCCTGAGGCGATGCTGACAAAGATGGCCACCCCAGAACCGATGATATTGGACGACTTCCCGCCCGTGTTGTTTGCATCACTTTCTCTGGATGCTGCGCCTGACGGACAGAGAAAGATAGGCGTGAGGGTGGAAATGACAGAAAAAGCTTGTTTTTCACGACAAATATGTGAGTCCATAATATGTGTTAACTCTTATTGGGCTATTTTGAAAGTGTCGTTTTTTTTTTTAAAGGGGAAGTCAACCCCCACATTTTGTCTGCAAAAATTCATGGGTCAGCTTCAGAAAACAGAAGGGCCCCTAATTGGTCATTACCTGAGCCCTCAGTCCTGTGAGATCATTTCAGTTGAGAGAAAGTGGCAAAATGGCCGCCGCCTGAGATGGCTCAAAATGTTGCTGCTGAACTCATATTCCACAAATGCAACCTGAATCAGAATGCCGTGCTCAGACAAATTGAGGCGTCTAGAACATACAGTGTTACCGTAAAGAAAATTTTGGGGTTCACTTCCCCTTTAATGTCATGGAAGGCAAATGTGCCATGGAAAACCGTAAAGACGAAAACTGTTCAAAGTGAGATGACGTTTCAAAACATTCAAGACATTGCATTGGTTTTGTGCAACAAAATTAATAGAATTGTGAATAGTGTTGCTCAGTCGTGTCGTGGGTGTGTTTGAAATCCCCAAGAGCACTTCAGATGTGGTTAATGCTTTCACTAAAAGAAACAGGGACAGGAGACCTCTTATCTTTCTTTTCTTTTTTTCTTTTTTTTTCCACGTTCTTTTCATAATGTATTCTGGGAGACATGACAGCACGATGACGAGAGTACGAGAGAGAGCGAGCGAGAGTAGGAATACTTATATTGAAGGCTTTTCTACGAAGGTCAAATTAAATTGGTTGCCATTCGCATCCAGCCTACGAAGAGTGCTGCCTTAAAACGAGGACAAAAAAAAAGGCACTTTAATGCTCCGAGTATAATTTGAAACTAACAACCCAGCAGGTGGATTTTTTTTTTAATTAAAATAAATAGATATATTTCCTGTCTTTCTGAACCTCTAAATCATTGGTGTCAAACTCAAGGCCTGGGGGCCAGATCCGGCCCGCCGGGTCATTTTATGTGGCCTGCGAAAGCAAATCATGTGTGTCAACTTGCTAAAATCTGTACCGAAATTTCAAATTGTCATGTGTAATAAATAACATTGAGATTTTGCAATAATTTTGTTACCCAGTGTACACTCACTTGAACAATAATTGAATAAACTATTATAATTGACTTGACTGATTTCAAAACTAGACATCTATTATTTTGTTGTGTACAAGTAGTAATTTTGTGGTTTCACTGTCAGTACGGCCCTCCGAGGGAAGATGTAACTGCTCTAAATGATGGAAATTGTTTGCGTCCAGTACGAAAGGGTTGGTGTACTCGGGTGCTGCCTGGTGTCCATGATTTCTGCTGATCCCTCGAGGCCTAAAAGTGATCTATCTGCAGTAGTATTGAGGTAAGAGCTGATACAAGTTGGCAGGCAGCCCAAAGCGAGAACCCTTCTGCTGTCGTACAAGGAGATTATCCTGCCTCGTACACTCTCCTCTAATGCCCATATGCTCCTGGTAGCAGCTGACATGAAGGGGGACTTTTTCTTTTTCTTTTTTTTTTGATGATAGCACAGGATATTAATACAGGGGAAAATATAGTCGGAGCAAAGCATTGTTTTTGGAGTTTTAAATGAAATTCTAAAGTCATGTCTGATGCGTGCATGTGGATATTTTCGTTTTGCTTTTGTACAAATATTGGTGGGACAAGAATGGAGCAGGGTTCAAAAGACTGCACACCATCAGTTCATTTTGCTGAAAATGTCACTTCAGTGATGGATTGCAGTACATGGGAGTGGACCAGCATAATGATGACTTTTAAGTCCTTGAGAGTGAAGAGGCCAGAGATGCCTATCACGTTAATGGCTAACATTCAATTACAGACGGATTAATTGGGGTCCATTCTTTCCAGCACTTCCTTTGTAATCCCCCATTGTTTCAATAAATTCTCCACTCAGTTACCACTTATGCTGATTTTAAAATGGCAGAAGATGAACTCACCTGGCTTCTCCAGCACTTCATTATTTTTGTGGGTGTCCTTGCTGTCTGGGTGCTTCGGAGAGTAGGGAACCCTGGTGGGTTTGTCTTTGGGTGAAATCGGGTCAGCAGGATCTGAGAAAACACAATCAAGGTACAGTTTTGAGTTTTCAAGTACAGCTTTGAAGTTACCGAAAAGCATTCAATTTTCTCAAAAGCCGACAGTGCACCTTATAATTCGATGGGCCTCACATATGGATCAATATTCTGATTTCTTGGACATAGTATTTTCAATGATCTGTAAGGCGCTTTTTTACAGTTTGCAGCGGTTGTGAAAGCGCTATATAACTAAAGCTGTATTGTGTTGTATTGTATTGTATTGTATTGTATTGTATTGTATTCACTTTAGCGTAGCTCCATCTAGTAGATGCATACCGCAACCTCAGCCACTTGTATTCTATGCACCTTGTAATGCGGTGCACGCTATATATATGAAAACTATTTTAAAATGGGCAATTAACTGAAGGTGTGCCTTATACTCCGAAGTGCCTCATAGTGCAGAAAATATGGTACTCACATTTCCATCTAAGGCAAAATGACAACAACAACACAACAACAAAAATATGAATAATATATCATGATAATGAGGGTTAAAAACCACCACTGTGGTTTTCAGGATTTGCGTAGCGCGGCACTGTGATGTATGTTAGGTATGGCATTATGATCCTTTTTTTGTTACACATTGTTGTGTTTCGTCCCGTTTGTGCCGTCATTGTCTACCACCAATCATGTCATTGTCTCCACATGGTCTTGTCAAACGTGATCCTTGTGATTGCCAATCAGCCCTCTCCAGCAAAGCGTGACTTGTCCTGGTGTGCATCGTTGTCTTGTCAGGATGTTTGTATTTTGTTCCGTTTTCCTTCAGTAAGTCTCTGATCATTGTAGCGTGGTCTGTTGTCATCTTTGCTGGAAAGTCGACCCTCTGTGCCACAGAGGGTCGACTTCCCAAGCAAAGATTTTTTTAGACTTATTATTTCTCATTTTTATCTTGCTTTGAATTGCCTTGTTTGCTAATGAATAACTTAAAAAATAATTACCGGTATTTATTCCAAAATAATTACCGGTATTTATTATTATTATTATTTTAGAATACCTTGCAACCCTACCATGGCTTGCCTGCTTCCCTGCACATGAACTCTAACTGTGTGTCTTCTTCACACTAGCCGTAGACGGTCACTTGTTTCGACCTGTGACATTTGTGTCATCAATAAAGTAAACGGCAATTCGCGTGGGATCGGGAAAGCCGCGAATAGCAAAAAAAAATGCAAATAACCCAAACCCATGATAACCCAAAAGTTTGAAATTGTATCTATTGTATGAAGTAGTTTAAACTTTAAATGGATTATAAACTATAATCCCAAAAGAGTTTAATATCATTTCATGGATATTGAAAGAGGCGAGGGCGCATTTTCTGATTTATGTAAAACATCGGGTTACACATTTTTTTGGGGGGAATGGAACTACATAAGTCGAGAACTGCTAGTATGTTATTTCAAAGCATAAACGTTGCGCTATTTTCAAAACGGTACCTCAAGAAAATGTGCCAGCCTCGGGAATTGCAAAAAAAAGCACCTGATTCAGGAAAAATTATGGGATGAATTAATAGGATCTGGTTTTATACCTGTGCTAACGTGTGGGTGGTGCTTGTGATAACAATTTGTGTGTATCTATAAAAAGATGACAATTGCATGGGTTCAAAACTGCTAATGTTTTCACTGCTTGCAAGCTCGCACAATTGTTTGAATGTGTCTTTCTCTTCATTCCATCGCTTTAGCGCCACTGTCTCTTGTGACCTTATCAAGACATGACATTTGTCGAATGTTACACGTTTTTTTGTTTGTTTGTTTTTTTACACTGAACGAACACTGCTGTGAAGGCTGCTCATTGCTTCCTCTTACTATAATTGACTAATACTCACTTTGTCCCACTTTCATGATCATCTTCATGGACTTGGTCTTACATACTCCCCCGTCCTGGTTGTCGATTCCCTCCATTGTGCCATTTGAAGTAGCTACAGGACAAAGAGAGAGTAAAAAAAAAAGGTTAGAATGATCAATGCAGTTTTCTTGGATTACTAAACAGGATATGCCTCCTCCGGTTTATCTTTTGGGGGGGCGGGGGTGGGGCAGCTAGTTCAGAAAGACAAGCAAAGAGGTGAAAAGACACAAAATGAATCCATTAACTTTGTCGATCGGCCCCTAATGAATGATGATGAGCATGCAGGAGATTCAGTATAACAAACCCAGCGACAATAGTTTCGAGTGTTTCTTGGTTTGAAAAGGAGGTCTTTAAATGGAACACCAAAAAATCCATTGTCCGATATGTGATTAATCAACCATTAATCAAAAGCATATCATTTGATTCACTATACAACAGAGAGAAAACTATCCTCGCCCCGCCCCTTTTTTTCAAGAACATTTCAATGTTTATCTTTGTCTTTTGTTGTAATGTGTTGATATGTAACGTGCGTAATGTGTATCGGCCAATTAAATTGGTCGGGCCCTAGTAAGTATGATGGTTTCAAGAGCCAAAGGTTCTACCACTCAGTCTGGTTGCTATTATCTAGTATGTAGTCTCTGGCGGCTGGTAAGAAGCACTGCAGTTGGTTGATTGATTGAGTGAAGGGGGGGGGGGGGCGGGGGAGAGCTTGTGGTCTATCAGGTCAGTAACATCGAAGCTAACGAGCTGCCAGGGCTTAGCAGCTTGGCTTCTTGCCAGAGTGCAGTGGCCCGCATTCACTACATCTGCCTCCACCCTACTCCGACAACCTCCCGCCCCCCTTACTCTGCCTGCTTCTTGTCCCAAGATCTCATTCTCTATCCCCTCCTCTGAACAGCACCCCACCTTTACTACTGCCTTACGAAACCCTTTTTGCTCATCACCCCTCCCTATCACCACCACATGTTCCACTCCCATTACTGCTATTTTTTTTTTTTATGCAAGCACGACAGAGCCTTCAGAAAGATACTGATTTGAAAAATTAAGCTCAGTTTTCTCTCTCTCCCCATTTGCCTTGGTTGTCTTTGTTTTTCTTCGCTCGGCTACTATTTTGATCTGGATCCCCTTGCTGTGATGGGAGCAGACACAAAGAGGATGTTAACAAGGACTCCTTCCCTCCTTCCATGCTCTCTCCTCTTGCCCAATGCCTCTCTCACTCACTGACCTGTGGCTTTCCAGTAGTGGCCCAAAAGCACATTACAGACAAAGCTCCTTAAGGGCTTGTGCTTCTGTGATTTTGTGTCCGTGTGTGTGCGAGCGACCGCTTCATAAACCTGTTAGCACAACACACAAGAATTTAACAATCCTGTTGGAGATCATTAAGCGACACTGTTGACTTGTGAGTGACTTAACACCGCGAGGGCATGTTTTTACAGTTGCGTTTATGGCATGGCACATTTGTGCGGACAGGTGTAAGGCAATAAATGAGAAGAAAGAGTATTTCGGGTACAATCACACAGTGTCGGAACCAAAAGAAGGTCAAGAAGGTTGGTTTCATTTGATTTGCAACACAACTGCAGGGAAAAGTATTGGTCCTGTTACGTACAGAGTAAAAGCTGTTGCGCCAGGCAAGCCAGACTTGGATTTAAGCATCGTGTTTGTTTAATGGGCTCAGGATGACAGAGCAGCCCATCTGAAATATGCCAGACAAGGCCATGATGGATTGATTGAAAGACTAGCCAGTTAGAAATAATGGGCTACTCCTCATTGCTGGGTTACATTATTGGTTATTGGACCTGGTTCTTGCAAAGTAATCTCAAATGGATTACATTTTTAACTTCCATTGGCATGAAACAAGACTTAGAGTCAGGACATGATGAAGGACAGGAAGGTGGAAAAAAAAATAAAAATCTACTGGTCTTCTGTGTTTTGCAGTCCACTAGTGATGGATGAGGAGGATCGCTGCAGAATGTGATTTATTTAAAACTTTCAATGTGGTTAGAAGTTTAGTGGTTGGAAACTTTACGCATGCATTCGTGTGCACACACAATTGTGAAAAAAAAGCCGTCACGAGGAGCGGACATCAGGCAAAATCCTCTAACAGCAGCACGAAAAAAGTAATGTTAAGACTCAAGTGACTTAACCAACAGACACAATGCATTACTACCCATATACATTTTGGGCACACACTTTGGATGAAAGAACTGACAGGTCGACCAACTTTAATGTAATTACTTTTCTCCTTTTCGTGCTGTTCACAAGTATCCAATTTCTTTTTTCTTCTGTGAATGGAATTGTTTCCTTTTACTGAGTGCAGTCTCTGCCTTTTGTCCAATGTCAGATGAGATGGGCTCTAACTAGCCAACGACCTCGAAAAATGTAAACGGTACAGAAAATGGATGGATGGATGGACGGATGGATGGACGGATGGATGGAACTGGCCCTGGAAGTCATACAGTATGTCATTAAAACCTTCATACAGTCTTTCTCACTTGAACATGCCTTCCTGCCCAGAACAATTTTCTTGGTTTCACGCCACATCACGTCACAAATGGTCTCAACAAAATGACAACGGTCAACCTGTGTGTCCTGATTCTCTTCCTTTTTTAAGATACCTGTGAAACGATCAACAGCATTCAATGAACACCCTCCCGATCTTAAATGCGCTTGCAGCCTTCGCCCGTTCTGAATTTGATTTCACATCTTAAAGTTCCTTTTCTGGCATTTGTTAAATTGAAAGAGTGGAAAAGCATCAAACGTTGAACTAGACAGTCAATTGTGAGATGCGATTTCAAGTACCTAATGCACTAAGGTGAAAAACCTCCAGTGTTGCGGATAGCTTGGAGAGTGTTTACTGCCAGAGCTAATTGAGACAATTAGGCTAACATTAAAAATGTAATTGCATTTTCCTCACTTAAGAAGCTGTGAGAATGCCGCCGTTTTACTCGATGTCGGACACTGTAAATTTTGGCTGCCTCTGTGGATTATCCTTTCGTAAAGACTGGAATCTACTTTGCTTTCACTGTTCTATGTTGTGGGTTTGATTTACATACAGGAGAACAAACGCAGCGTTATGAGACAGTGAAGTGATTCCAGAAATACAGATAAGCAGAAAGACAAATTGTGTTGCACACACAGAGAGAGACGAGATGATAAAACCAAGCGCGACCAAGACAGCTATGATCTACCGGTACATAAATATGAAGCGTAATTGCCATCCGTAGGAGCGTGAAGCCATCATCTCAGTGTAGGGGTTGCGGCCTGGTTAATTCCCGTCACCGCTCTTTGCCAAATCACCTGTGACAGGGGGCACCTTAGCATTCGGGCATCCCAAATGACCCTGAGAAAAAGGCCAGGCCAAAAGACAGGTCACCCCAAATATCAACGCTGTCTCATAACAAGTGCTGCCCATCACCTCAAAAGGAATTCAAAGGTCGACATTGTTTGGGTAGATGATGAACAAATTAACCATTTATAACAGACATGAGAAATGGTTGCATCATATGTGAAAGGTTTCAAATCCAATCATTTGAGAATTTTTCCACAAATCCATCACCACATCCAATTTTTTTTGTTTGTTTGAGCCTTTTATGATTGCAAAATGAGACCTTTAATAAATGGAAATTCCATTTGCTTATTTTCCATGCAAATGACTCTTTTCACTGAGATGTGTTTACAGTTTGTTTCTCCGTCTGAAACGTGCTGCATTCGCTCTTTTTGAGGAGATCTATTTTTTGCTCCTCCCTTTTGTTGTTTTTAACTCCAGTCACTCGACTTCACTGCGTCTTTCTTTCGATACGTCTATCACGGACCTGTAATTGTTCTCCCCGATGCTCGCGTACTGTAATCTTGCTAACAAAGGCTCTCATCTTCAGGCCATGCTGCCGCAAACGATCACATCAAATCCATTTGCCTCCCAACTGGAGCGGCAAGCGCGGCCACTTAAAGACACATTCACAGACACGGGCGTGCGTGAAAGCATATCGTGCACACTTGTAGGCACAGTGACAGAAATATCTGCAGACATAAAGCTGCCTGTTGGACAGATGCAACACAACATGTGTCAAGCAGCCTCCTTACACACACACACACACACACACACACACACACACACACACACACACACACACACACACACACACACACACACGCACACACACACTCACACACAGAGGCACCGACACAAATCACCGATTTATTTTTAGCAACAGGAAATAGACTTGAATGTCTGTCAAAAAATGAGATCCGTAGCATATATTTGAATCAATATGCTTGAATTGATTGTGTAGGTCGATCCATGTAATATAAGTCTAGCCTTTGCGCAGTTTATCAGCATAAAGCAGCGCTAATCCAATTGGTTGAGATCCAGATCTTTTGAATGGATGTGGGTTCCTTGGCAATTGAGAGAGGACATGGAGGATTAAACGCTGGTTAATTAATTATGTATCAAGTGCTCGCTCCAAAAGACTAATCAAATCCTTGCAGTAAATCTTGAGTGCGAGGCTGCAAAGAATGGACGCTACAACGTGCATACAAACCCAAGTTTTTTGTTTTTCTTTTTGCAGGTCACTGTACACGCTTCTATTAAACATACTTGACACAATAACTATTGTTGTCTCACAAGCAATTACACCCAGAAGCAAAGACCGGCGCTTCCGCTCTGCATCTACTTTCATTCTCCGTCTAATCTTTTTTATTTATAATTTATTTATTCTGTTTTGTGTTTGTGTGAGGCTTTTCTTAATCCAAAAAAAAAAGATCATCACTGAGTTCACAGCATCGACGCCATCATTCAAATGCGGTCGGCTGCAACAGCTGTAGAGCTGAAGCAAGGGATAGACTAAAGAGGCAATTAACAGAAAAATACGACTCACTCGAAAAAAAGACCAATTTCTCCTTCTCTTTAGGGTGACACATGAGCATTTTTGAGGGGTGGATGTCGAATGAGGGCACTTTGCATGCAATATAAAAAGCCGTTATCGAGAACCCTTTGTTTTTAAAGCGGGCAAGATGTATTTCGTGGGAAGCTTTTGGAAATTGAAAATTATTCTTTGCTCATGCTGTGATAACGCTGTGTGCGGGGAGACATAATCTATAGCTACGTGGAGCTAAGAGGACGTCTCTTGTTGCCGTAGCGAGCATGCATCTGAACAGTGTGTGCACGGGGAAAGCTGCCACAAGCTGCACTCCGGGGCAGCGCAACAATATTCAACATTATCGTCACACATCTGTTTCTCTGGACATGTACCCCGCCCTCTACTTGTAGATGGGACGCCTCTTCACCGCTTACTCATTCCTGTTCGCCATTCTCTAAATTGAACCCGGTTATGTCGAATCTAATCCCAAACTGATGACATTGAGTGGCAGGAAAACAGGCAGATTCCTCTTGGAGCATCAAAGCGGAAAACGCCAACATTAACCCATCAATATTTAACTGCAGCGTTTTGGTAAAGCGAGCTAGGAAAGAGGTAAGAGTCGGGTAATTGAGCTTGTGCACTTTGGTTCTCTTACGTCTTTGAGCGCACACACGTGCATCTTTTTTCGTGTTTGTTCAGCTTCTGCGGACACCCATGACTGACTGAGTGTCTGTGGAAAAAAGCCGCTAGACCGGGGCGAAAGCTCTCACCTATAACAACATAAATGACCAATGTGAGCTACTACAAAGACATACAGGTCAATGCAAATACGACGACGGGGACACTTGTTTGGTTTAAGAGAAGCCGTCACTGCCAAAATCTGCACCCGTTATTAGCTGTGAACATGTTTTTTTTTTGTTTTTTTCTGAAACAACTGCTTTTCATAAGGCGCGCCCCTGCACATGTTGCGCAAGAGTCAGAACGGGGAGGTTACTGCGGGAGGTTTCCTACGCTGACTTTTAATTGAATTGCACAATACAGTCGTACATTGTTTGGATTAATTACTATTTCCAGCAATTCTCTCCCTATCCGAAAACACCACTTCTTCTTCCCCTTCCGTCTAGAGACGAAGAAATATTGCCTTCTACTACAGTGACAGCACACAGATGGCGGTGGCAGAGCCTCACAGATGGTCTTATCTTCAATATACCCCCCCACACCCCCTCTGCACTATACACAGATGGTTCAGTCCACCTCCCATATTACAACCCAGGAGGCCTTCACTAAACCCCGTCAAAACTTCCCCGAGGATGTTAGCACGTCGCAGGTGATCAGGAATGTAGACTGACCCACGTAATTCTCAGAGTGGATTATTACACGCCAAGAGAACAAAAACAGCTGGGTCAAAGCCACAAAACGAATCTCAAGGTCGCAACTAAACACAAAGATACATTTCAACAGATATTTGGAGATATTATTGATACTTACAGATGATGTAATAGTCTTTTCCCCTGAAGAACTCCAAGCCCCAAAGGTTGGGGCTGAACTCCTGAAACTTGAGGGTGAACTTTACGTCCTGGTCAGGCTTGACACAGTTAAGGAGTGGCGTGTCAGCCTTGGTAATGGTGCAGCTCTCCAGCTGCTCCCTGGGCACCATATACACTTTATAATACTCCACTCCCTCACCCACCCCACCATCCACTCGGGGGCACACAATGTCCAATTTATCACCGATCTGAGGGTAGAGTACCACACCTTGTCCTGGCACAAATCTGAAAGAAGAAAAGAAAAACGGAACTTTAATATCGCACATGACTTGACATTCATTAAGCATTGCGTTTTGTTGCGTTTGTTATGGACTTTTTATGGAAATTAAAAGAATCATCATCATCATCAAATACATGTATTAAGCATTGCGTTTTGTTGCGTTTGTTATGGACTTGTTTGAAAATTAAAAGAATCATCATCATCATCATCATCATCAAATACATGTCCCAACATTTCGTAGTTATGTCCTTGAATTTAGCTGCTGACCAGAAAACAAATATGTACAAATTTTATTCAACGTTCTGGAAACGTTACCACGTAAGAAATAGCAGGACACAAAGCAACAAAACAATAGGGGGGGAAAAAAAAGCCTTGCTTTGTGTGGCAACATTTCAACAACAGCAACAGTAGCAGGAATTCATCGGCAGGAAGCCTGGAGGCCTTTGTCTGGGAGTGTAATTGAATTTCCCTAAATATTTCCCAAACGTAAAATAATAGCGCCATTTAGTCTCAAGTATGAAGAGGCCCTGCAGCATTCCGATGATCCACATATTCTCATTCGCATTGAATTGAAAGTGAGTCTTTATTTGCTGTGCCCCAAGTCAAATCAAATCAAATCAGGCATGTTACCCACAGATTCGGGTATTAAAACAAATCATCTTTTGTAAAAGATACATTTGGAAAAAATATAATACTTCAGCACGGTTCAAGGAAGTTACTGATGTGAGGACGAGCTGGTGAAAGCTACGATGATGACTTTTCATGACTCCAACCGAAGATTATCCTTTGAGTTTCATCAAGTGTATTCTATGTGTGTGAGGGCGTTGACAGGCTGCAGGAGTCTGGAGACAATTACATTGCAAGCCCAGTTTTATCAAAAATAAATGCGCAAAAAAGACATGAATGAAAGACTAACCCAGTCTTATTACCGTGTCCACACATATAAACAAACATTTTTAATAAAACAACAACTGTATTTTCCGCATCTCCGAGGGAAAAATAAAATACGATTAATTTACACACAAGTAAACTGCACTCGTGTCTGTCACTCCACTGAATGAAATCAGCACATAAGGAGATAATGTCATGAGAGATGTTGTAATATTTAAACAAAGAAAGTGTATCAGATCATGCCGAAAAGGAGCTGGTTTCCCCATACACAGATAACGAAGATGAACCTTTGGAAAGTATGCACCCTGGATAAAGTTATCAAAAGGTCACTTGTTCAAGACGAAAGTGCAGTGTGTTTTGAAAATATCCGTGAACGTGTGAACAAGGCATAAAAAAATTTATGTAAATAGTGCATACATTATTTATTGTTGTAGTCATTTATTTTGTACCCAGAAATTCATCAGATGCTCAGAATTTGTGTTTAAAAAAGTGTCATCTAAGTCAGGGGTCCCCAACCGCCGGTCCGCGGACCGGTACCGGTCCGCAGGGCATTTGGTACCGGGCCGCACAGAAAGAACTTGCCTTAATTCCGTTTTATTTCGGAATACGAAAGATGTTTTATTTTGAAAAATTACCGGATTCTCCGTTACATCCGTCTGTGTCACGCTTGACGCACGTCAAGCAACGCTTTCCCCCGTCACGTGACCGATTCCGCTTAAAAAAAAAACCACCAGAGCTCGGAAAATGAGTAAAAAAACTGCTGGAGATCAAATGACAGCGGCCTTAAAAGTACGTTCGAGACAACTGGATAAAAGTTATGGCTGAATATTCTGAGATCGCCACAGTAGCACTGTTGCTATTTCCGACATCCTACCTGTGTGAGGCGGGGCTTTTCTGCAGCAACGGCGACTAAAACAAAATTACGAAGTAGACATGACGCAAAACACACACTTGAGGTGTCATTGTCTCCTATTAC